AAAAATGCGTAGCACAGAAATGGACTTTTAAGTTGGTGACAACCGGAAAAATCGCGCCTCTTGACCGTCTCCCCTCAAGTAGTTGAGATGCAAATTCCCTGACCTTCCAACCCTACGGTAAGAATGACGATCCGAAAAACTCGGAATTTTTCGTAAACAGAGTTTCCATAAGCTCACATCAAAATCTTCGTCTGCAGTTGTGGAAGGTTCAATCTCTCGTTGGTCATTTGAGGCGAATACATATTGCCTTCGTCTTGATTGAGGGCTAAGCGGTCCGTTGAACATGGGACATCAGCGATCACCTGGAAAACAAAGTAATCCTTTTCTTCTAAATACTTAAAAAATCGAAGACGATAATTCAACTCATTTTTAGGTGGCCCGAAACACATAGCCATTTTGAATATGCCAGAACTTTGAAACTTAATTATTTTCAAAAAAGAAAAAGTCACTTGCATCCTATAACTCAAGCATACCACTCCTAGAAATTTTGCGACCAAATGACCCACTCTTGGACCACATAGATTACCAACTCTAAATCTTCAGTCTTCAATAGCCAACTATCACTCACCTTGTCATATGTGTTCAGCTCATCCCAAGTAGCCAAATTGCTGGCATCCTTTCTTTTCAATATCACTGCGTCTGCTTCTGGAGCATTCGAGGGAACATATATGGATAATGCTCTTTTCAGCTGCCCCAACCTCGCTAGTTTGAAGTCGTTGCAAACCATTTTACCTAGAAAATATCCAAACTGGAAATCAAAATAAAACTATATGAAAAAATCTTACCCGGCAATTTTGTTAGCAAAGCCAACAAGCTTTTCCCTCCAGGTGCAGCGCAAACATCTAACAATGAATCACCTTTTTCCAAGCCAAGAGCTAGCACCGGCACCAGTGAGCCTCCATCAAGAAGCCACCAACCTAGCATTTCATGAGAGATGTACAAACCATAAATTTACACCAAACTAACTTGGTATGCCACTGTCGTCTTTGACTGGAGGTGGAAAATCTGACAGTACTCCACGATCGTAACATCTCAGTCGCAGCTCACGAGGATAGTAGATAAAATGATTTCTCCGGGCAAGCTCCATCCCTTCAGCCTCGAATCCTGTGACTCTGTAATAACATTCTCACACTTTGAGAGAGAAGACTTAGCATAGGACGGCTAACTCGAAATTCTCTAGATTCTCCTTCTTCTGTTTCTTTTTGCCCAGCTGCAGTTCACCAGGAGTAACCGATCCGGACGGTGGCTGGAACTCGCCCAGACCAGCTGCAGAACGCATGACCAAGTCTGGGTCATCGTGGCTTGTAGTTGGTTGAGCTGTTTCATGGTCATTCTGGAATAAGAAGCTAGCGTACCCACTTTCGAAAAAAAAA